GGGCACAGGGGGACGGGCACAGGAGGGTGGGCACAGGAGGACGGGCACAGGAGGGTGGGCACAGGAGGGTGGGCACAGGACGGGCACAGGAGGGTGGGCACAGGAGGGTGGGCACAGGAGGACGGGCACAGGGGGATGGGCACAGGAGGGTGGGCACAGGAGGGTGAGCACAGGGGGACGGGCACAGGAGGACGGGCACAGGAGGGTGGGCACAGGAGGGTGGGCACAGGAGGTTGGGCACAGGAGGACGGGCACAGGAGGGTGGGCACAGGAGGTTGGGCACAGGAAGGTGGGCACAGGAGGGTGGGCACAGGGGGACGGGCACAGGGGACGGGCACAGGAGGACGGGCACAGGAGGGTGGGCACAGGGGGATGGGCACAGGAGGGTGGGCACAGGAGGGTGGGCACAGGGGGACGGGCACAGGGGGACGGGCAGGTGGGGGCTGGAGACTGTGATGCAGGCGTTAGTTCTTGGGCAGATTGCTCGCACCCTCCTCTGGTCTGGTTGGCGTTGTGCCAAGTGTCACAAAGGCGTTAAGTTCCTCCATTTCCCTAACTGTAATGACTTACTTGGAATCAGATGCAGACCCTGGGATCCGGACAGAGAAAGGCACATGCGACCCATAGCTCTCAAGGGGCAGAAGTAAGACTGGACGCCGGGGTGGCTCAGGAGCTCAGGCTCCGTCACGGGGCGGGGAGTCCTCACTGTTCCCTGTAGGACGGAGCTCCCTGCCCCCCCATACCTGGATCAGCGACCTCATGTTGGCAAAGTGTGTGTCCATGGCGCCCCCGTGCGGGAAGTTCTGAGTCATCCTCTTCATGAGCTCCGTGAAGCAGCTGAAGGCCAGGGCCTCTGGGGGTGGTGCAGGACACATGGTCAGCAAGGAGCCTGCCCTGGGCCCACAGATCCCCAGCCACGTGGGAGACCGGTGGGGAAGCGAGCCCTGGCGGGTGCTGTATGCAGGAGTGCACTCCGACCTGGGGGATGGGGGGCTCTGCTAGGGGCAGCAAGGGCAGAGCCCTCCGCAAACATCTGCTTGCCACCACACACAGAGGGTGGGTCGTCCTGCCCGAACTTCTCTTTCTGCAATCCTCAGCTCCAGGCTTCACGGTGAAGCTGCCGTACCTGCGCCGGCGCATTGCTGGCACTTGTCACACCGGCAAGGGTGGGACAGGTCTGAGCCTAAATCCCTCCCATTCCCCTAGCACCGGACGCCCCCTCAGCCGGTGGCAGGAAAGCCACCAGCGCCCCAGGCCTGGACCAGGGAGGGTGCTCACCGTCATCCAGGATGACCAGCAGTGGGGCCAGAAGGTCACACATGCCCTGCACATAGCCGATCTCAATGTGCTGCCAGATGTAGCTGTGAGAGACACAGGACGCCACTGTCCTCCCCTCCTCCCACTGAACCTCCCCCCCTCCCCACTCTCCTCCCTCCTCCCTACTGTTCTTCCCCTCCTCCTCACTTTTTTGTTTTTTGTTTTTTTTGGGGGGGGTCTAGTCATGGGGCCTGAACTCTGGGCCTGGGCGCTGTCCCTCAGCTCTTCAGCTCAAGGCTAGCGCTCTACCACCTGAGCCACAGTGCCACTTCCTTTTTTCCTTTTGCTTATGTGCTGAGGAATCGAACCCAGGGCTTCAGGCATGCAAGGCAAGCGCTCTACCACTGAACCACCTTCCCAGCCCCTCTCTACTTTTTTGGTAAGTCTCAGTTGTAGGGCTTGAACTCATGGTCTGGGTCCATCTCTGAGAGTTTTTGATCAAGGCTAGTGCTCTACCACTTGAGCCACACAGCTCCATGTCAGGCTTTTTGGTGGGTAATTGGAGATAAGGGTCTCACAGACTTTCTGGGGTTTCTTAGAACTGTGATCCTCGGATCTCAGCTTCCCGAGCAGCTGGGATTACAGGTGTGAGCCACTGGTGCCTGGCTGAAATTTGTTCTTGCTGGTCTGCTCTAGTGGGACCCTGCTTGCTGCCTTCCTCCTCCTCAGTTTCTTTGAGCTCCCCCTATCCCCCCCCGTCCCCACGGGCCTCTGCTCCCCCAGCCTCCACTCCCCCCCCCGTGTCCCCCCTCCCAGCCACCTGCACATGATGTTGCGCAGCTTCTCCAGGTTGGCGGGCGTGAAGTACCAGTAGTTGCGGTCACAGCGCTGCACATCCTTCTCGATACGGTGCAGGTTGACGGTGTACAGGTCCAGCAGCTCTGGCTGTGGGTGTGTGTGTGGGGGGGGGAGCAAAGTGACCCCCAGGCTGGGCGACAGGGACACAGGCCCCCTCTCCCCCTCCTCCTTCATGCATGTATCTCTTTGTTTTTAGTTTAGTAGACTCAGATCTAAAGGTCATGGTTCAAACTCAGCCCGGGCAGGAAAGTCCATGAGACTCTTATCTCCAGTAAACCACCAAGTGGTAAAGCTTTGAAGAGATGAGGGACAGCGCCCAGGCCCGGAGTTCAAACCCCACAACTGACAAATAAATAAAATATTGATTCTGTTTTATTCTGTTCTCCTTGTGGAGGAACAGAGAATCAGAGACTGGACCAGCGCTGGCCACGGCCCCTCCCTGCTGAGCACCAGACCAGACGGTGAAAGAGCTGAACAGAAAGGCCATCCTGGGGCCACACCAGGCAGACGCCTTGATGCACAGCACTGAGGACAGCTCAACCAGACAGAGGGGAAAGGAGGAGAATTCCACAGAGAAGACAGCAAACGGGCGGTTTTGCTTTGGGGAAGCTGTGGAGATGGAAGCCGAGGCGTTGCTGTCTGAGCCCTGCGGGGTGAGGAGTCTCCCGTGGCTGCTTCCCCGGGCAGCACGACACAGGAGCTCCGTCCCCAGCTCACACAACACGCAGGGAGCTGGTCCAGGGATACAAGTGTGGTCGTTTTTTTGTCAGTCATGGGGCTTGAGTTCAGGGCCTAGGCACTACCTCTGAGCTTTTTTTTTTTTCTTTTTTTGCTCAAGGCTTAGCGGTTTACCACTTTGAGCCACAGCACCACTTCTGAGTAGTTTACTGGCATTAAGAGCCTCATGGACTTTGCTGTCTGGGCTGGCTTTGAACCTTGATCCTCAGATCTCAGCCAGGGTTATAGGCATGAGCCACTGGTCCCCGGCTTGTGATTTAAGTGTGTAAAGAAAGTATATGCGGGGTGGGGCTGGGAAGGTGGCTCAGTGGTAGAGCGCTTGCCTTTCATGCCTGAGGCCCTGGGTTCGATTCCTCAGCACCACATAAGTAAAATGAAAAAAGACAACAGGACCCCCCAAAAAAAGAGTATAAGAAAGTATATGCGGGGTCAAGATAAAAGCAGGTCTACAAAATTAGCAGGACAGTCACCACAGCCTAGTTAAAAGGAGCACACATGAAATTTTAACTGTATTTTTTTTTTTTTTTGGTGGGTCGTGGGGCTTGAACTCTGGGCCTGGGCGCTGTCCCTCAGCTCTTCAGCTCAAGGCTAGCGCTCTACCACTTGAGCCACAGCGCCACTTCCGGTTTTCTGGTGGTTTATTGGAGATAGGAGTCTCACGGTCTCTCCTGCCCGGGCTGGCTTTGAACCGCGATCCTCAGATCTCAGCCTCCTGAGTAGCTAGGATGACAGGCGTGAGCCACCAGCGCCCGGCTACACATAAAATTTTAAATGAAACTTTTTAATCCCGAGTGGCTGGGACTACAGGCATGCGCTGCCGCATCCGTCCTGGAGCATGTTGGATGCTCCACCTATATTACCTCTCTCTCCCTAATGAGTGCCTACAGTGACGCTCCCATGTTGGAGAGAAGGGCCTCCCTCCTGGGTTGGGCAGGATAAATGGAGCTTGCAGTAGAGCCCTGTCTCCACTGGAGGCCAGCTGGCGATAGGAAAGTGAGGGAGAGGGAGGCCCTGGTGACTTACCGAGTAGGTTACGCCACTGGAGGACACAGGGGACGCCTCGTTGGTGGCAGGAGTGGCCACGGCCAGGGAGGCCAGGGCGGGGAAGAGACTTTCCATCTCAGGCTCCTCTGAGAGATTGTCCTCGCTGTCCCCTCGGCTCTGCTTCTCCGCCTCGCCGGCCCGCCAGCCCTCCACGGCGGGGCCGTCCTTCTCGGGCAGGGCCACGTCCAGGCTGCCCGAGATGGACATGAACTCGTCCATGCTCTCGTTGGCCAGCAGGTCGCTCTCCAGGCTGTCCTGCACGACCAGCTCCTCCCGAGGGGCCTCGTCCCGGGACGTGGTGGCCTCGCTGCTCTGCCCCTCGTCCACGCTGCTGTCCCCGGGCCGGAACGTCGGGGCCCCGCTCCGCTGGGCGTCCAACACGCTGTCCTCCGTGCTCAGACTGGGCTCCGAGTGCTCCGAGAGGCCGGAGGAGAAGTTGTGAGAGGAGGGATGGCCGGAGTCGGGCGAGCACGTGCCGTTCGCCAGGTTCCCGTTGGGGATCTTGGGCTGTTTCTCCTCCAACCTGCCCTCTGCTTCCACCTGCTCCACCTCATCCACCGACTCAAATACCTGCAGACACGGAGCACAGAGATAGACGGGCTGGATGCCCAGCAGGGGGAGATGTGGAGGAATACTATACAGTCCGTGAAAAGAGAGGCGGGAGGAGGTGCCGTGTAAGCTCCCATTATTTCAAAGAAATATCTGCACATGTCTGAGTCTGAGCCACGTTACAGAACCTGAGCGGCCCTAGACCTGGGTATCCATGGCGGTGTCCTGGAGCCACCCCACTGAGGACACCAAGGGGATACGGTATTACTTGTGTCACTGAAAACTCCCATTTTTAAGGGTAAGTATGAAAACCTAACACATACAAATGCAATGGGACCAGCGCACAACCAATGAGCCAACCCGAGGGCCCGGAGTGGGCGGGGCATGGAGGGAAGGGGCGGGGCCTGGGAGGGCGGGGGTGCAGACAAGGCATGGTGTGGGCGGGGGCAGACATGCGGAATGGGCGTGGCATAGGCAAGGCCAGCCAGGCCGTGATGAGGAGTGGGCGTGGCCTGGAGGGGGCCAGCCGGGGCCGTGGTGCTGAGTGGGCGTGGCCTGTGAAGGTCACCTGTGTGCTGCTGCTGGAGTCGCTCTGCAGGCGGAGGTTCTGGCGGCCTGAGCTGCAGCTCTGCGAGGACTGGAGGGAAAAGAGGAGGAGGAACGGGGGTAAGCCCCCTCCTCACCGCCCCCCACACCAGCCAGCTCAGGAAGGGCTGCTGGGCTGGGAAGCCATCTATCTTTATCCTGGGGGACAAGGACCCATCCTTGGATTCAGGTTCTTGGCTCTAAAGTGAAAGTGGGGGCACTCTCCTGCTCCCCAGAACCTGCTGGGGGCCCCGGCCTCCCATCCCCCGCACCGCAACCCTCCACCCGGAACTGCTCTACTAAGGCTGGCGGCCTCCCTCCAGCTCCCCATCCATGCCTACTCTGAAGCCAGACCTGGCCACCCACGTGTGTGGGCCACAGGTGCCAGCAAACCCAGCAGGGCAGAGCCCAACCTGCACCTGCTCCGTGGGACAGCATGGCCCGGCTGCCGGCGGGAGGCTGAGAGGTGTGGTGCACAGCCAGCATACCGGACACAGCATGGTCAAGGCGACCGGCCTCCGGAGGGCTGGTTCCTGGGTGACCCCCCCCCCCCCACCCTGTGCTGCTGGGATGGGAGCCCGCGGGCTGACCCATCGGCTCAGGGGCCACGGTGAGGAGCAGTGTGCGTGCTGCGTGTGAGGGCCTGCTTTGGGCTGTTCAACTGGAGCTTCTGTATAGGCAGATTCCTGCCCTGGGGACTGTAACATGCTGGACACACTCCAGACGGTAGCTGGCACATAGTAGGTACTCGGCCTGCATTTGTTGACTATGAGGAAGCAGGGTGCTGTGCTACGCTGCACTCCTTACTCCCAATCACCTCCATTCTGTACATGCAGAAATGGGGGTCCGCGGGTAAAGCTGTGTGCAGGAGACCCCAGAGCTAGAGCAGGAATTTGAACCGAAATTCCAACATTCTGCGGTAACCCCCTCAGAAAATGAAAAGAAACTAAGGACAAGACCGACTCAAGGCCCCTGGCCCTGCGCCGCCCCCCTCCCCCCACCCTGCACCCCCATGCCCAGGTGGCGGGGCGCACCGTCCATCACCTCGTTGCTGATGGTGGAGTCCCTGTGCACCATGCGGTGCAGGTGGCTGTCCAGGCTGGCCCCTGACGAGCACTTGGCCAGGGCGGCGGCGTGGGATTCCCGCTCCCGCTGTCTCACGATGGCCTCGCAGCCCAGCCATTCAGACATGGTCTGCGCGTAGCAGGCGTGGATCTGCTCGTCCACCTGTGGGCGGGTGGGTCAAGGTCGCTGAGTGCCCGGGGCCTGGGCACTGCCCGCCCGCCCTGGCTGACCCTCCTGCCCTCGGCATGGAGCCCACCCAGTGCACCTCTGGAACCGGTTCTGAGCAGGAGGAGGGGGGAGGGCCTGGCACCCCCAGAGCCCGGTCACTGAGACTCAGCAAGTTTAGGAAGAAGGGTTGTGGCTCACAGAGGACTGAGGTAGCCCCCATCCTGGGGGGCTCCCACTTCCTGTTCTGCTTCTCCTTCCCGGGTTACGTCAGTGAGGTGACCTGTCGTTGAACCCCCCCCCACAACCGACCACATCTGTCTTCAACAGGTCATGTCTAACTGACGCACAGTCCCTGTGTGGCTGTGTGACACGTGCATGCTAATTACATCGGGGCCACTGAGCATTTCCTTCTCCTTAAACACTTAGCGTTCTTTTTCTTTTCTTTTCTTTCTTGTTGGATGTGGGGCTTGAACTCAGGGCCTGGGCACTGTCCCTAAGCTCTTTGGCTACAGGCTAGCGCTCTAGTGTTTTGAGCTGCAGAGCCACTTCCGGTTTTCCGGTGGTGAATTGAAGAGTCTCACAGACTTTGCTGCCCAGGTTGGTTTTGAAGAGCAATCCTCACATCTCAGCCTCCTGAGTAGCTAGTGATTATACGTGTGAGCCACTGGCGCCCGGTGAGAGTGAATTTCTTTAAGATAGATGTGATGTTAATGCCAGTACAATGACGGCCAGAAAGAGGTGGAAAACCAACAATCTCAAAAACTCAGTGTGAGTCAGAGAGTGGAAACAAGGCCTGTAGATTATGTGTCAGGATGGTGATACATTGTACATAGTGATTTTAATAGCATGAATTGTTGTATTGCATTTCCTCCATGAAATGTCAGGCACCTACACTGTGTGCACCTGTGTACACACACACACACACACACACACACACCCAAGTAAACAGGGAAGCCTGAATCAGACAGGCATACAACCCCAAGGCCCGCCTGCTATGATATTGGAGCGTGCTGCCATTGGATACACAGGGTGTCAATCTTCAACCATCTCAGAACAAAAGGCTATATGGTCTCCTTCATAGCTCCCCACCCCTCCCCACCCCTCCCTGGTCTCCATGCCCCACAGCGGCTGGCTTCATTATGTGGCCAGCACCACCGTCCAAATTGGCACCGACCTCCTTCCTCTCTGCCTCCGTCATCCCGAAGTGGTAGTGGCCCAGGAGGAAGGGCCACACGGCCTTGCGGATCTCGTGTTGGACGCCCCCGTAGTAGACGAGCCGCAGCAGCTCCTGCTCCTCGTAGCTCTGCGGGTGGGGTAGGAAGCAGCACGTCGGGTCAGCTGCTGAGGACTGGGGCAGCTGTCGCCCACCCTGCCATCCTGTCTGGGCCCAGCCCTCTGACACCCTAGAGTGGCCTCCAAAGGCCCAGGCGTGGGTCCCCCAGGGTGGTGCTTCTGGAAGGAAATAGAACCTTCAGGAAGTAGGGCCCAGGGGGAGCTGGGGCTCCTTAGACGGTGCAGTAGGCCCCAGCCCTGCCTTCGTGCTCTCTGTGTGGCACTGGGCCTTGGGGCAACAGGGCCAGTCGGTCCCTGACTGACAGCTCCGAGGCCCTGGTCAAACACACCTTCACTCTTCACAAGCTGATATAAAGCTCGGGTGTTTGTTATAATAACAGAAAGCTGACAGGTGCACCAAATGTGCCAGGATATTCATCCCGGTGCCGTTTGAAAGAGCCAAACCCCAGGAACTTCAAACCCCGGGAACCCCCAAGGGTGGAATGCAGCCAGTCCATCCACGCACATGCTGCGTGGCCGGGGGCCGCCTACGAGGGCTGAGGTATCTCAAGTGCTCAGTGTGCATCGCCGAGTCAAACGGAAAAGGACAAGAAGCACAACATGTATTGTGTTTTGTAGAAAAGAAAGTAAAAAAGGCTAGCAGCTGTGACTAACACATTTACTTAATTCTCAATCAGTGCTTCATCCTGTGCTGATTTCGAATATTACTTTCCAGGATCCAACTCTAAATAAAGCACAATATAAACACTCCAGCTACGGCTCACACACTAGCAGCTACGCACTCTTGGGTGACTCACAACTTTTAGCTGTGTGTGTGCACGAGTGCATGCGCCCAACCTGGGTCTTGAATTCAGGCCTGACCACTGCTCCTGAGTTCTTAGCTCTACCAATTGAGCTACTACTTCATTTCTGACTTTTTGGTTGTTCATTGGAGATAAGAGTCTCACAGACTTTCCTGCCTGGGCTGGCTTTGAACCATGATCCTCAGATCTCAGCCCCCTGTATAGCTGGGATTACAGGTGTGAGCCATTAGCCCGGATCATGGTTCACTTTTGATGAGCTGAGGCTGTCAGCTGGGCCTTAGACTGCTTCCTCCAAGGACAGGTACCAGAGCACTGGGCGAACCTCAGGAAGAATATAGGCCCTTGGGCTCCTCTCCAGATGTGCTAAGCCAGTGCAGCCGGAGCCGAGCTCGGAGACCCACAGATCTTTCCAAACCCTTGGAAATGAGCACTGCAAGGGAAGTCTGCATATTTTCAGCGCGTTGGGTTTTTCACTGTGGCTGCCACCGGTCAGTGTGGGTGTTCCATGCCCCGCCGGGCTTTTTTGTTGGTGCCCATCAAGGTTTGGATTTTGGAACATTTCGGATCCTGCTTAGGCGCGCCCCACCTGACATGCCTTGGGAAGAGGAGGGAACTCTGAAGGCAGGCAGGCGTGGGACTCAGGCAGGGCCTGTTGGGTCTCTGCTAGCAAGGTGTGGTTCCCAGCCCCCCTGGGTCTCGGCCCAGTACGCATGCGCGGGCCAGGCCTACTCACGGTGCTGTCCCGAAGGTACTGCTCCCAGATCCCGGCTGTCAGCCCCTGCCCGGCATCGCAGGGCAGGTCAGGGGACACGATCACGTGATTGACCAGGGCCGACAGGTGGGTCCGCACGGTGGACAGGTGCCTGCAGTAGGCCAGCCCTGCGGGAGGAGGCAAGGGAGATAAGACACCCCAACACCTCCTGCCCATCCCCCCCAGCGACCTGTCATCCCCCCCATCCCCAGTGTCTGTCATCCTAGCTGCTCGAGAGGGTGGCGGTTCTAGAACGGCCCCAGGCGGCAGCGTCCACAAGACTCTCTCAGTGGGAGAGGCCAGGCTCAGTGGTGGACGCCTGCCAGTGACCATGAGAAGCTGAAAATAGGCGGACTGCAGTCCAGGCATGGGCCTGGGCAGGCATCGAGATCCTATCTCAAGAACGAACAGCACAGAAAAGCGCTGGAGGAGTGGTTCAAGTGGTAGAGCACCTGCCTAGTGAGCATAAGGTCCTGAGTTCAAACCCTAGTACAACCCAAGTAGATTGTGAGGCTGGGGAAGTTAAACATGCTAAGAATCCATATAGGGGAGAGGGGAAAATGAAACCCAACAGAACAGGCAGGCTAGGATTCAAGTCCCAGCTGTGACCTTTGGAAAGTCACTTTGCCCTTCTGTGCCTTAGTGTCTCTTCTGAGTATTACTGTATTACAAGTTCAGTTTGTAAGTGTTTGGGAAGGGATCAGGCTGCCTCACTCTCCGGCCCACAGAAAGAAGCTGACATTTATTGAGCAGCTACAGCTAAGTACTAGGGGAGGGTGCATGTGTTATTCATGCAGTCCTGAATCCTTCATGGGGACGTGGTGGTGACTAGACCGAACCCCTGTCCCCAGGGCCCACAGTCCTCTCTGAGGGCCCAGAGATAAGCCTTGTCTGTGCGTGGATGGGGAAACTGAGTCTTGGAGAGGCTGCGGCCACTTGGTAGAAAGCAGGCGTGGAGGAAATGGAGCAGCTGGCCCCTTCCTCCATCATCACTGGCTTGCTGGCCGTAAGTGATCATCACAGACCCCACCCGCAAGGGAGACGCCATACGCACATCCGTAGAAGGCTCTGGAAAGGATCTGGTACTTCATGTTGTCGCAGAGCAGCTTCAGGGGTGCCCTGTGGGGGGAGATGCGGGAGAAGCTGAGGTCAGAGTGGCCTGCAGCCCCTTGGTACCGACACATGCCTTAGGCCCTTCTCCCTCAGGAGTGGAGGAGCACGAGGCTGCTCTGACTCCCACCCACCCAGCACCAGCGCCCCCTCTTCTGCTACCAGCACCCCAGGTTTCCTCCAAGGACTCACCCCTCCCACCACCATCCCTGCCATCTGGATGAAGATGTTAGGATTACCCAATAGGTGACCTGGGTGGGCACCACAGTGATTGGCTCAGTGGCAGTCACATGACACAACCTGGGCCAATGAGAACCGGCCCAGAGAGTTTGGTTGGAATTGCTGGGGAGTAGACACTTTGTTTCATGCTGAATTCCTGAGGTGTGGGGCCCTCTTTGCCAGGGCATAGGAAAGGCCTGCCTGAGAACCGAGCCCTCTTCGGGGCAAGCAAAGCCAGCATCTGGAGACCCGGGAGGGATTCACGCTCTGAGCACCTGGATCTAGCCAGTCCTGAAGCTACAGTTAAGTCTGAACTTCTCCGTTACCCCAGCGTATTTTCTTTTCCTTAAAAGAAGTGGGTTTATGCCACTTGTAGGAAAAGAATCTTGAAATGGCCTAGGGGAACCAAACTGAACCAAACAGCGCCTGATGGATTGACCGCCAAGAACCCAATGCCACAACTCTCCTCATGTGATGTTTTCGGTGCTGCTTTGGCTGAAAGAGGGGAGGGGAGGAGAGCAAGGCCCCGGAGTTGTGGGAGAAAACAAAGGCTCCTGCAGAGAATGGAAAAGGCCTAGGTTCTCTGCACATCCCAGGAGGCTCTTGGCAAAGCCAAGGAGCAGGGCAGGGAGGGGCCAGAGCTGGACCCGGCTCAGCCAAGGCTTCTGGAAAACAGTCCTGGTACCAGGGTATGTCCCCTTCCCCCCTGCCCCACAACTGTTATTCCTATTGAAGTCTAAGAGTCTCAGTTCTATTACACGTATTTCCCACCCTTAGGTGTGCCGAGTACCATGTTCTAGGTACTGTTTCGCTGAGTACCATGTTCTGGGTACTATGTGCTGAGTACCGTGCTGGGTGAGTACTGTGTTCTGGGTACTGTATGCTGGGTACCATGTGCTGGGTACTGTGTGCTCGGTGGGTACCGTGTGCTGGGTACTTTAGACCATGTCTGGATTTGCTCCTCAGTGGTCACACATGTTAAGCAAACTGAGATGTCTGTCATTCCTGTTCAGTTATATCACAGACATGCAGCACGGCAGTGTCTCCTGGCCCCGTGGTGGGAGCAGAGATGACACGTGAAGAACGCAGCTGCCTGTGGACCGCTGACAGACATGTGGTGTGGCAAAGTACTTCCATGCTTGTGGCCGAGGCCGCCGGCTCTGGGGAGTATTTGTTACTGCAGCATCGCTTTGCTCATCCTGACTGATTCGCGTGAAGTAACTGCACATGGCCAGGAGTTGACAGAGCAACGGTGGACCCCACGGCCTCCAGAGCCAATTCCGGGCAGTGAAGGGGCACCCACAACCCCCCTCCCCCCTCCCGTGGATCCTGGATCTCTCCCGACGCCCCGCCTACCTCTCGTGGTTGCAGCCATTGCTGGAGCTGCCGTTGGCTGAGCCATTGTGCGAGCAGGATGAGCAGGAGGACTTCCGGGGGCTGGGCTGCCACAGCGCCGGGAGGCTGTTCTCGGAGACGTCTATGAGGTCCTGGGGGGCTGGGGGGGGAGAAGGGGCGGGAGAGCTCTGGTTATGTCTGTGCGGGCCACACGATCTTCACCCCCAGAACAAGCAGCTCCCCGCTCCCCCCGATCGCAGGCTGCTGAGACCCTGGAGCCCACCGCACCCAGCACCGGCCACCACCCGATGAGGAGGCTCCAGCAGACGGGCAGAGTGGGCAATGGCGCAGAGAGAGGGAGAGCCCGGAGCCCAGAGCCCAGCCGAGCCCAGGCAGCCAGCCGCGGCCGTGTTGTCATTCAGTGGGGCACAGGGGATAGATGGTGATGGGGGGGGGGCTGCGGGCAATTCTGCGGAGCCTTGAGTCACCAGAGACAGGGCCCTGGGACCGGAGACGCTGGGAAGTCTGAGGAGGGGGCCGGAGTTACAAAGATGCTCTACTGGTAGGCCCAGACAACAGCCTGGGGGCCCCTCCTTGAAAAGCCACAATCCATCCTGCGATCCTCTCCTGCTGGAGCAAAGCCTCCTGGAGGCAGGGCACATGGCTCGGTGTGTTGGTGGGATGTATTTTAGTGGCACTGGGGCTTGGACTTGTGTGGCTCTCTTGTTCACAGCTGGTGCTCCACCACTTGAGCTGCACCTCCAGGGTTTTTTTTTTGGCTGTTTTGAAGATGGAGTCTTGGGGACTTTTCTGCCCAGGGTAGCATCGAACTGTGATCCTCTGGATCTCAGCCTTCTGAGTAGCTGGAAGTATAAGTGAGCCACCAGTGCCAGGCCACGCCTCCCTGTGGGCTCTCACAGCTACCCAGAGGGGCCATTACACTCTCCACAGGGAGCTGGCCAAGAGAGGCCGGTGACCCCTTCAAATGTTCTAAAAAAAAACACCCAGGGAAGCTGTGACCAACGCAGCTTCTGTCCTGGCCCTCACACCATGCAGACATCACCAATGGATGCCTGAGCCACTGAGTGAGCCCCCAGCACCCCCTTCTCCTCCCACCACTGCCTTCTGCGGGGCAGAGGCCGGGGAAGGCAGGGACACCCATCTGCCTCTCTGTCCCACATCCCCTGGGACCAAGACTCAATGACAACACGGCTGGTACCCAGCCCCGGGAGGGGGAAATGGACGTTACTGGGGGGCTGCTCCGGCAGGCGCGGGGTGGGGTGGGCGGCGTCCTGTGCCCACCGAATCCCCCTGGCCACCACCAGAGTGGACTGGCCGGCAGGAAACATCATCCAGGCGGGGCCCACAGAGATGGGGCCGGCGGGGACTTGAGACACAAAGCAAACGAGAACGGTGAGGTGCAGGCGTGAGGCTGGGCGGGCGGGAAGACGCTGGAGAAACCAATGCCCGCCTGTCCCCGCCAGACACTGAATGAGAGTGTGTGGGGCCACAATCCAATAAAACTTTATTTGTAAAGTCGGGCAGGGGGCCGCAGATGGGAGCCACACCATGGGAGGATCCCGTCTCTGTCACAGGAGATACTGTAAGATGGGGGTTCCTTTCACCCTGTGTAGTTCGGGCTCTGGTGGAGATCAGCCAAGCAAAGGGGTCCCCATTTCTCCATGGGCTGAACCTGACCTTGGGGATGAAGCTAGAGGGCTGGAATTTGCTGTGTGACCTTGGAGCCACTGCCTGACCTCTCTGTGTCTTTTGCTAGGCATGCCATGAGCTCAGACATAGAGAAGGCAAGACAAAGAATGCCCGCGGCCGCCGCTGCTCTCTGAGCAGCTGCCAGGCTGGCTCAGCAGGTGTGGTATGGGCACCGTTTGACCTCCTGGAATACAGTCCTGAGTGGGGGGGCGGGGAGACAGATCCGCTCCCCATTTTCCAGGTTAAGCATCGAGGACAGGGTCCTCACGCGTGGGTCATTCAGGAACAAGAGTGCTGGCCGCCAGCGGGCCAGGAAGGAAAAGCACAGCTGAGCCAGAGGCTGGAGCCCTGGCGGCCCCGCCCCTGCCCAGGCCCCGCCCCTCCCTCTGTCCCCGCCCCTCCCCTATCCCCGCCCCTGCCCAGGCCCCTCCTCTCCCTCTGTCCCCGCCCCTCCCCTGTCCCCGCCCCTCCCCTGTCCCCGCCCCTGCCCAGGCCCCGCCCCTCCCCTGTCCCACCCCTGTCCAGGCCCCGCCCCTTCCCAGGCCCCGCCCCTCCCCTGTCCCCGCCCCTCCCCTGTCCCCGCCCCTGCCCAGGCCCCGCCCCTTCCCTGTCCCCACCCCTGTCCAGGCCCCGCCCCTTCCCAGGCCCCGCCCCTCCCCTGTCCCCGCCCCTCCCCTGTCCCCGCCCCTGCCCAGGCCGGATGGGAGCTGGCGTGCCACAGGGCCTGGTCCCGCAGCCAGGCTCAGGACGCTCGTCCTCCTGGGAGCTGGGGGCTGCAGGAAGGAGGGGGCTCAGCGGGAAGACCCTGACGCCAGCATGGACGCTGCATGGGCCCCTGCACTGGGTGGGGTGCGTGCCGGGCCCCTCCGGGCCTGGAGGCCCTGGGCCACCATGAGCTCCTGGTCAATAAACGCCCGGAGCGCCGTGTCCCTCCTGCAGGCCCTGGACACCCGTCGCCGGCCTTCAGCCCTCAGACGCCGGCGGGACTCCCACCCGACACCCCCATTTTACAGATGGGGAAACAGGCCTGAGGCACAATCCTCCCCAACGCATCTGTCATCTTTTCTGTTTCTTTTTCCTTTCTTTTAGCATTTTGGGGATTGACCTCAAGGCCTTGCGTTTGCAAGGCAGATGCTCCTCCACTTGAGCCATGCTCCCCGCCTTTTTGCATTTGGGGGGCCTGGGCTGGCCTTGGGCTGTTATCCTTCTAGACACACTTCCCGTATGCTGGGGTTACAGCAGCCAGCCACCATGCTCAGCCAGGCTTTTGATTTTGAACTCTGAACCTCTCGATTTCCTTTTCCTTAGTGGCTGGGACAATAGGTGTATGCTACCCTGCCTGGCCTCAATGGTAGTGGGGGCGGCTCACCGAATTCGGACTGCGTGCCGGGGTAGAGGATGCGGAACACGTAATCCGTGGCCTCGTCATCCTCCTTGTCTGACGACGTGGACTCGGACGAGCCCGGGGGGCTCCGCTTGCGGAGTTTGGGGAACACTTTGCCCTGAAAGAACACGTCCTGAAGCCCGTTTGGGGACCCGCCTGTCCCCGGGCCCGCAGGGGGCCGCGGTGGGGTGTGCGCGCACCCGCCAGGCCTCGGTGGGGCCCGGGCCCACCCCGGCCCCCCTCCAGCCCCCAGGGGCCACTCACCTTCCCGCGCTGGGACCAGAGCGGTGGGTCCAGCTGGCCGTGGGGGAGCAGCCCGTTCTCCAGGCAGGAGAGGAACTGCAGCAGGTGGCCGCCCTTGGGGAAGCGGAAGGGCGACCTCTGGATCCCGTCCTGGCTCACCAGCACCACCGTGCCGCCGCTGTCCACTGCCACGGCCACCGACCGGCGGGGGAGACCAGCAGGAAGTCACGGCGGGGTAGGGTAGGGTGGTGGCTGCCCCCTCCGGCCAGCCCAGGCCCCAGGGTGGACCCCAGCTCCGGGCAGGGCTGGGCATCTCTCAGATCCCCCCACCCCCACCGTCCATCTTGGGGGGGGGCGTGTGACAGGATGAGACCCAGAACTGGCTTCCTAGGGCCTTTCCTCAGGCTTCTGTAACCCTGCCTGACTTAGTTAAAGGCAGACTTCAGACTCAAATCCTCCCCGAGCTGGTTGCCTCAGGCCAGCATGAGCAAGCACTTACTGAGTAGTTTTCACCTGGTGGTTAAAAATTTTGTAAAGCTCACAATATCCCTATTTGTCATGGTCTAATTTCTACAGGATAAAACCAAGGCTCAGGGAGGTTGACTATCTCGTCCAAGGTCACACAGCAGACTGTAAGGATCAGCGCCTAGACTGGAACCTCAGTTCTGTCTCCTTAAAAAGGCACGAGTGACTGTGTTTTAAGGTGTTGGTGTGGCCCAAGCTTTCTAGAGCCGGCCGGGCCTGTGTGTGCTTCTGGCTTGGAAGGAGCGAGGGAAGTTATGGTTCTTTAGTCTGCAGAGCTCTGCCTCTCCCTGACCTGGGTTCGAGTCTGGGCTCTGGAGCAGATGGGCCGCTTCACCTCTGACATGGTGACCAGGCTACCCCCTTGCTGGGCTGCTCTAGGCACTAAGCAGCGGCCATTCTACACAGGGGAAGACCAGGCTCAGAGAGGCAAAGGCGCTGGCCCGAGGCTGCACAGGCAGTTGGGGACGAGTGGATGCGTGGGGACAGACGGTGGGGGGGCCAGGACGCGTGCCTGCCGTGCCCGAGGCCCCCGGGGCCCACCTTGCTGGTGACAGTGCAGGTAGACAATCTCCTCCAAGCGGATGGTCATGGCGTAGTCCCAGTAGACGCTGGAAGGGGACCAGGGGTAGGCTTTAGGGGGCCGGCTGACCCCCGTGGAGACGCTGCCCCAGGGCTCTGACCCCTCCCTGGACCCCTGCACTGCTGACATCTGCGGCCCGTTCTGCCCAGTCTGTCTCCCTTTGCTCTCTCAGCACCTCCACCACCTGAGGGAGTCATTGCCCCCTGGCCATGGGGCCCCGAGGATCACCTGACCCAGGACCGACCCATCAGTGCGTGCCAATGTCCCGAGCACCATGATTGGTGCAGGGAGGACCCCGTGACCCGTGCAGAGCCAGTGAGATGTTGGATGAGGTTTATGCTCTAGTGACCGGGAGAAGCTCCCAGGGGCCTGGAGACACCCGGGCCGGTGACCAGGGTAAGTCTACATGAGGATGGAGTTCCCAGAGGGCCTGGATCCAGCCGTGCCTGCAGCCTGCCGCCCTGGCGTCCTTCAGTTCCAGAGAGCCCGTGTTTAGGGCAGTGTGAGCCTGGTTTTGTGTCACTGGAGTCTCCTTTTCCCCCGGGCTGCCTTGTGCTCATGGGGAGGAGACAGAACAGCTGCCCAACGGCTTTGACCTCCTGAGCCTCAGTCTCCTCCTCTGCCAAGTGGGATCTCACAGTGCGGCTGTGAGGGGGAGCTAGAACCAGCACTTCAGAAGGCTCAAGCCAGAAATAAAGTACTTGGGACACAGTCTCTGTGAGTCTGTATGTCGACGTGCCGTGACACACAGGACCGGGCAGCACGGGGACCTGGTCCCATGGCCTCCGTCTTCCGGTGCCCTTGGCTACCCCTCATCTTCCCCAGTATGATGTGAGGGGAGAGTTTTCAGCCAGACGCCGGTGGCTCACACCTGTAACCCCAACTATTCAGGAGCCTGAGATCTGAGGATCACGGTTCGAAGCCAGCCCAGGCAGGAAAGTTCATGAGACTTTTTATCTCCAATTAACCACCCAAAAAGCGAGAAGTAGAGCTGTGGCTCACGGGACAGAGCACCAGCCTTGAGTGGAAAAGATAAGGCGCAGAGGCCAGGCCCTGAGTTCAAGCCCTCGGATGGGCACTAAAACAAGAAAAACCATCCAAAAAGACCCCAAACCAAATCCCTTCCCGTCTGTCTTCCCTTCCTCCACAGCTGCCTCCCCACCAGGGGGCGGCGCCCTGGGCATCTGGGGAGAGGCAGAGCCCCCACAGAGCGGCTGCCCAGCCCCTGCTGCGCTGCGGCCTGGCGGGCCGGGATGACGCGGACAGCGGCGGGGAGGGTCCCGAGGCTGGGCGCGTTCGCGTGAGTACGGCTACACAAAGGCCGCGAAAGAGACTCAGGCCTCGTGGGACGCAAAGGCAGCTGGGTGGCCGGGGAAGAGCCGGGGCCGGGACTGGAGATGGAGAAGTTCCGGGCCGGGGTGCCTTCCCCACCGCAGGGCTTCACCAAGACCCACAGAGCCGGGCTGAGCTCTGCCAGCCTCCACCCGCCTGTGCTGTCACCAGCCGCCTAGCGCGAGCCAAGCCGAGTGCTGGAGGGGGGAGAGTGTGCCCCCCACACGCATGCACACACACACGCACGCACGCACACACACATGCACACGCACGCACTCACGCACTCACGCACACACACGCATGCGCACACACACGCACGCACACACACATGCACACGCACGCGTGCACACGCACACACGCACACTCGCACACACACGCATGCGCACATGCGTGCACACGCGCACACACGGACGCACACATGCATGCACATGCACACACATGCACGTATGCACACATACACGCACACGTGCACATGCACACACGCACACATGTACACACACGCATGCACACGCGCGCACGCACACACGCGCACATGCACACACACACGCACACACGCACGCACACACACACACCCCTTCTCCTACCTCCTCTCGTAGTCCAGGTCCCCCACAGACCCGTTCATCAGCTGGTTGGGCGTCCACTTCAGGGTCATGATGTCCGCGGTCTGGTGCAGGGACAGGTAGCCAGGCACGGCCTCCATGTCATCCCTCTGCAGAGACGGACAGGATTGCTCAGGCCTGGCCACCCTGCCGGAGCCGGGCGGGCGGCGGCAGAGGCGCTGGGCCCGCTGGTTCATCCGTGTGTTGCTGATGCCAGTGCTCGGGCTCCCGGCCCGTGAGGTCCCGGCCAGCAGGGCGCCCCGGCCTCCCCTGTGCCCAGCGCGGCCCCCCACAGTGGGGCTTCAGGATGGCCCGGCCGCGGGGCAACCACGGGCCCCGCATCTGGGGTCCAGGGGCTCTGCCCCGCGTTCCTTTAGAACCAGCTGGGGGCTCTGTGTCTTTAAGCCGCGGGCTGAGGCATATCTCTCAGCCAAGGGAGAGAGATGGCACCGAATGCGAGGGCAGCCCCCAGCCGTTACCAGAAACCGCTCCCCCCACAGGGGGGTCCAATCGCCCCACAATCTGCCTCCAGGACCCCCTGCCCTCCAGCTGCCCTGCTCATCCCAGGCACAAGGCGGGGCGGGGGGGTGCTCTGCCACCATCGCTCATCCAGGAGGACGGCAGCCCCCATGCCAAATCCTCAGCCTCCCAACCCAGCGTCTGATTAGCCACCAAGTGTGTGCAGAGCGCAGCCCGGCCATGTCATGCCCACAAGGGAGCAGCATCTCGGTCCCGCATCCATCCCGCGAAGCCTGCGCCCCGTCACGCACGTCGGGGAGGGCCCTGGCCATAGCTGCGCACCGGGCTGGTCCCGCCCCGACCGGCTTCCCACTCGGAAGGCGGGGTGTACTTTACATCTTTGAAACCATGCGACTTGGCAGCACAGAGGAGGCTGGCGGCAGAGCAGATGAACACCCCCCCCCCCAGCCCAGAGCTGTGGGGAGCTCAGACCCCAGCCAGAAAGGCTGAACTCACTACACTCTCAGGTTCAGAGGTCACCAAACTTCCCATGCCAAGAGACGGCTGGGGCCTTGTCTTTGCTCATGGAAGCCACACAGGCCCGGATGCAACCAGTCAACTCTGCCACCATAGCTTGGAAGCAGTCATGGGCAGCACAGAAGCGAATGGTCACGGCTGTGCTTCAATAACACTTTATTTATAAAAGCCAAGTGGAGGGCCACCAGCACAGTTTGTCAGTGCTTGGGGGGGGGGGGTCACCCAATGACCTCTCCCACTTCCTCCCAGAGTCTAGTCACCATGCTGGCCGTGGAGAGAGGCAGCCAAAAGGGACACTTCCTGGGGGCCGGAGCCCTGTGTGCCCCTCTCCCCACCCATCCCTAGAGCCTGGCCAGCTGCCAGAGGAAAGACTAAGTAATGGCAACAGCCAGTGGTGAATTAAAGTTCTTAGTCCTGGTCACCTCTACAGGCTCCAGTGTTTCCAGGCTGAACAGCCCTGCCTGTGAGGGCTACGGGGCTTCAGTGAGTTAACACAGCTCTGGGCGTTCCCGCAGCACAGCGCCCGGCAGACACCCGCCACATCCATCCATCACACAGCAGGCCTGAGTAAACGTTTGGCAAGCGAGGAGGACACGGATGGGCAGTGACGGGGTGGCTGCCATCCATCCTGAGGCTGGGGAGGGCAGGAAGGGGAGGGGTGGGGTGGGACAGCAATGGGGAAGATGGGGAGATGATGGGCAGGAGGGCAGATGCAAATGCAGGCGGATGCTTGCATGAGAGGGAGCGGGCGCACAGATGAAAAGATGGGTGGGCTAGAGAATGGAAGGGGGGACCAGCTGCTTAGCCAGATGGAGAAATTAGCAGGTGGATGGATGAAGGAACAGATAGAATCATGGGTTGGTGGATGGGTGGATAATGAGTAGCTACATTGGCAGATGGTTGATTGAAAGGGTAGATGGATAGACTGGCAGATGGATGAATGAAGATGATGGATGGATGGATGGATGAGAAATTGGTTGGCGGATAGGTAGGTGGGTAGATGGGTGGATGGAGGGATACACTGATAGGTAGATGATGGATGGATTTATTAGGAAGTGGGTGAATGGAGAGAGATGAATGGCTAGGTGGTGGGTGGATGAATGAATTGACTACACTGGCAGTGGATGGATAGGTGGGAGGGTGGATAATTAATGGGCGGATGTATTGGTAGATGGCTGGCTGGATGCACGTGTTGGCAGATGGGTGGATGAATGGATGGGCAGATGGGTGGATGAATGGATGGACAGGTGAATGGGTGGGTGGATGGATGGATTTGTGGGTAGACGGATGAATGGATGGATGGGAGTGTAGGTGGGCAGATGGAGGAGTGGATAGACAGAAGAATAGTTGGATGGGTGGGTGGGTGGATAAGTGGATGGACAGATGGATGGATGGATGGGTGGGTAGGTGGGCAGATGGAGGAGTGGATAGACAGAAGAATAGTTGGATGGGTGGGTGGATGGACAGATGGATGGATGGATGGGTGGGTGGGTGGGTGGGTGGGTGGAGAAGCAATCTGGAGCCAGAGGAAACTCCCCACCTCCAACCCAGATCGGAACCCGCGGTGGCTCACCGGCTGGACCAGGACGTTATTCTTGCCATACAGCAGGGTGGCGCGGGAGTTCTGGTGCAAGGACTCCACGTAGTCCCGGGCAGAGAGGGACGGCCGGTCGTCCATGCTGCCGCTCGAGTGTCTCTTCTGTATCTGGTACGCGGAGGGACAGCCCTGGAGTGACGGGGGGAGGGGGAGGAGGACGTGGGGGGAGGGAGGGCCGGCCCGCTGCCCGCCCAGGGCCCCGCTGCCTGGCGCTCACGCAGAGGGCCGGCCGCTTGGTGGGCGAGTCCTGGCGCAGGTACGAGCTGTGGATGCGATGCCTCTGGACCAGCTCGTCGGCCGAGGGGTCCGTCCAGAAGTGGTCGGCGGTCTTCATCCTGGTGTACTCCAGGGCGCAGGGCCCCACTGCAGAGCACACCGGCTGGGCACTTGCGGACCCCGAATGTCCACCCACCCGGCCCCCTCCCCTCCCCAGAGCTCCGCGGTGAACAGACCAGAACAAGACCCGGGGAAGGAGAGGCGGCCGGCAGGCAAGCAGGCTCCGGTGGGCTGGGCACTCCCGAGGCCCCAGGCCAGAGCCCCGGCCTCTTACCCAGCAGGGACGCCAGGATGGGGCCGTCCACCGGGTCCATCAGCAGAGCCTCCTTCTCGTAGTACTTGCTGGCAGGGAGGGAAAGAGGGGCAGGTGTGCATGGCGGCCAGCAGGGGGCGCACACCCCCAACTCGTGGGAGACTCGGCCATCCACCTGCCAAGTGGGGGTGCCAGAAGGCACACGGACCACACAGAGTGCCGGGTGGGGTCTGCACCTGCTTAATGGCCACGAGGAGAGTGACGGGGGTAAGGACCAGCGGGCTGTGTCGGGAGGTGGGCTGACTCCACCTTCCCTTCTCAGATGCTGGGGGCGGGGGAGGGCGGGGAGGGGCTTCTGTCACCAAGGCAACGAGGTGCTGCTTAGCTGTGCTGGGAATGCACCTGGTGAGCTGACACGCTCTCCTGCGCAGATAAGGAACATCGAGAATGCTGGCCTGAGAGGAAGTCTGACCTTGCAACGTATCACGCGACAGCACCATTGGAACATTCATGCTGCGTGTTTTGGGGGTTGTTTGTTTAAGTCATAGTGTGATGGTTTCTAACTCCTAGAAAACTCATGCAGTCCAAAGACTCACAGGGTTTCAAAGCAGTTATCTGGAATCTCCTAAGGCTATCAGGCCCAGAGAGGCTAAGTGACTTGCTGGAGGACACACAGCAGGAAGACAGAGGTCTATCTGCCGAGCATGGCCCCTGCCTCCATACGGCTGAGGGTCATTCATAGGCTTGGGGTCTGGAGTCCAGACAGACTGAGTAGGAGGCAAGCTTGGCTTCTCGCCACTGTGCTCTGTGTCCCTAGGCAAGTGGATCCCTCTCCGAGCTTCAGTGTTCTAGTTGTAAAGTGGAAGAATGGCAGAATTCAGAGAATTGGCTGAGCTAGAACTAACCTGCTTCAGAACTTGGTCCATATATAAAGTTCACACATTTTGAAGTTAAGAGTATAGACACTTGCCAGCTTTCAGTTTCCATTCCCAAACCAGCAGTTAGTTGATCATAAAAGCCTTGGGGCCGGGTGCTGGTGGCTCATGCCTGTCATCCCAGCTACTCAGGAGGCTGAGATCTGAGGATTGTGGTTTGAAGCCAGCCCAGGCAGGAAACTCCATGAGACTCTTACTTCCAGTTAACCACACACACACACACACACACACACACACACACACACACACACA